AAAAAAAAAAAAAAAAAAGCACCTTGCTGATTATAAACAATGTAGAGACTCCCAGACCCTTTTTTTCTTTTTCTTTTTTTCAAAGAAAACTCCAAAAAATTCGAATTACAAGAAAAATTAGAGAAATCAACAGGAAAAAACACTACAAACATTCAGAGTGTGTTTGGGAGAAATTTTTGTGGAATTTTAATCAAAATTATAGCCGTTAAAGTCTCCACAGAGGGAAGGTGGCTGATTTTTCATTAAAATCATGATTAAAATTTCTCCAAAACAGGGCCTCAATCAATCTCTAATAGGTATATTCAAAAATCCATTTCATCAAATCACAGAAAAAAAAAACACCAATGCTAATTAAAAAGGGCAGTATACAGAAAGACTGGCAGTCATTTCAAGAAAAGCCAATAAAACAAGAAAAATGAGAGAAATCAAACCATTAATTCCGATCTTGATCTTCCCCATTTCTTTGAATATAGAGAAGATGCAAAAGAATTTTTTTATAGAGTGATGAAAGGCAATTTTGTGTGGAAGAAAATGAGAGATCGGACGGATAATTTAAAGGAGGACAAAAGACGGTTTTCAGTGAAAACCGGTGGGTAGATTTCACTTTTCAGCATTGGAATCTTAGAATATTACTAATTGATTCCTACTGTTTTCAAAAAACTGGATGAGTCAACTGATTTGAGATTACAAGGATTATGTTGGGAATTGATTTTCATTTTTTTTGAGGAACTTTCGGAGTTTACAAGGTAAGCAATAATAATTAATTCTTTTCCTTTTATTGAAGAAGGCAGTAATAATTTACATGATTAGCATCTAGAAATAATTAGTAGCAATATAATTATGGGTTTGCTTCAGCCTTCCTATTTTTGGAAGAATAAATTTTATAATAGTAATTTTTTGAATAATGTAAAATAAAAAAATTATTTTATATGTAAAATTATTTTATTAAATGTATGACAGAAATTCATTTCTGGTAGTTAAAAAAATTTCCCTATAAATAATAAATTCGCTGCCTTTTTTATTTTGCACTTTTATGGAGGAAATTGAAGGCCGGATTCCAAATTTTTATTTGTATAATTATATAGTACTAACTATTCGAATATTAGATAGTTACAAGATATATTTTTATTTGAACTAATAATGTTATTCATGTATAAATTATAAGTAATTATATTTACACTATAATTTTAATTTAGTACACTATATTTTAAAGATCTTATTATATGTACATCAAGATTTATATAATAGATTAACATAATATCACGTGACACTTTATCATTTGTCAATTTAGAACACAATTAATTTTTTCAGCAAATCTTTTTCTCTCCATATCATATTGTGTAATCCATTATGTATATTACACCGAATGTTCGTTATCTTTGTTCATTGTAATATTTATAATCCTAATTTTTTTAGCGAATTCTTATGTTTCGACCTTCTATTAATTAGCATATTTCATTTTATACGATGATTTACTTCAAAATATTCTATTGCATATTTTGAACTGAGGGGAAAATGATATTGTTGAACTTTTTTATTTATCGTAGTTTTCAAATATATGATGGGCAAACGAGTCGTTTTATGTCCTCTCACCGATTTTTTTTTGGACGGAATTAAAGACGAGATGTGCTTATTAATTGAATGAGGGAATAAAAATGCGTCAAAAAAAGTGAAAAGGATATAAGAAATAAAATTAAGTACTTTAATACAATTAAAATGTGACGGTGTTTATAAAATTATTATTGAAAAAGACATTTTGATCCTCTAATAATGTTAAAGAAAAATAAACATTAGAAACTTTTCGTTTCTTTCTTTTTATTTCAAGACCTCTATTGTATGGACATGTGAAATGAAAACATGATCCATGACTTGATCGATTGCACTTCCCCAACACATGCTTCTTGCCTCAGAACTTTCTACTTTTAAATGCATTTCTTTTTATAATCATGCTACATGCACCGAATCTTTTACTTACTACTCACAATGGAGAATGAGACTACATTGTGGGAATTTTTAAATATATGCGGGTCCCGCACATTATGTGAGAGGAGGTAATCCATTATGTACAAATGGATTAACCCTTTTTTTTAAAATCTTTTTTCCCGACTCTTTCAACCTCTCTCTCTCTCTCTTGTGCTTCTAGGAGAGGTGAAATAATGATATGATGTTACAGAGAATGATAGTAATGATTTCTTTAACGTCAAATATTGCGGCTCTTTTTACTGTAGCAACGGTAATAATTTTTATTTTTAGTGGAAACAAATAAGGACCAAGTTAATTAGCTATTTTGGTAAAACTTGTCAATTCATTTCCTGTTCGGTATGGCTTAACAGCCAATTAAAATTGAAAATATGACCTTTATTGGGTCCCACTCATCTAGTAAAAGTCAACTATAACGGCTAGTTTTTCAATTTTAATCCAATTTTAATCTCTACCGAACAGGTCCTTAAGTTTTACCGTTTGAGAAAATTCAAATGAATGCCAAGTCTTGCAAAATTCTACCAATATATTAGCATTGACCTTAATACGAATGAATAGTTACTGACTGAACAATGTTCTATGATCGGTCAAAAAGCAAAGAAAGAAAAATAAAGTGGAGCTCTATTGTATGGACATGTGAAATGAAAACATGATCCATGACTTGATCGATTGCACTTCTCCAACACATGCTTCTTGCCTCAGAACTTTCTACTTTTAAATGCATTTTTTTTTATAATCATGCTACATGCAACGAATCTTTTACTTACTACTTCAAATGGAGAATGAGACTACATTGTGGGAATTTTTAAATATATGCGGGTCCCGCGCATTATGTGAGAGGAGGTAATCCATTATGTACCAACTATTATGTACAAATGGATTAACCCTTTTTTTTTAAATCTTTTTTCCCGACTCTTTCAACCTCTCTCTCTCTCTCTCTCTCTCTCTCTCTCTCGTGCTTCTAGGAGAGGTGAAATAATGATATGATGTTACAGAGAATGGTAGTAATGATTTCTTTGACGTCAAATATTGCGGCTCTTTTTACTGTAGCAACGGTAAGAATTTTTATTTTTAGTGGAAACAAATAGGGACCAAATTAATTAGCTATTTTGGTAAAACTTGTCAATTCATTTCCTGTTCGGTATGGCTTAAAAGCCAATTAAAATTGAAAATATGACATTTATTGGGTCCCACTCATCTAGTAAAAGTCAACTATAACGGCTAGTTTTTCAATTTTAATCCAATTTTAATCTCTACCGAACAGGCCCTTAAGTTTTACCGTTTGAGAAAATTCAAATGAATGCCAAGTCTTGCAAAATTCTACCAATATATTAGCATTGACCTTAATACGAATGAATAGTTACTTACTGAACAATGTTCTATGATCGGTCCAAATATTCCGTACACATATAAATAAATATATTAGTGAGCCATATTGTGGAATTTATGAAGTGAGATTAGTTGATGACAGGCTTCAAAGAGCCATCATAGTTGTGTAGAAACAAAATATTGTTGTAATTTCTCTTTCCATTATAGTTGAATCAAATCTTCAATTCTTCTGTCAAGTTAAATTCTTGTTTCTTGTGTTCTTGTTTTTATGATCAATACTTTATATCGTACCGTATAATCTCGTTCATTTTCTAACAAGTGATATCAGTGTTTTGATTTGATTTATTCGAGGTTTTTGTTCTTGATAGCAATCATGAAGTATGGCCTTCCGTTTTTGGATCGCAACATTATCGGTGGGTTTATTTCAATGTCTCGAAAAAATGCCAATGAAATACGTTAGATCATGAAATTGATTGAATTATTTTTACTTTTTTCTATAATTTTGTGAAGAACAATGCTCCATATACAACTCATGGATTATAACATTGGGTTACAACCTCTCACAAGGGAGGTGGACCACACGATTAAAATAATAGTAGGCCCCGCCTTCCTTATGAGAGGTTGTAACCCAATATTGTACAATGAACATTATTCTTTTGTGAATAGAACATACTAGACAAGCGTTGATTTTGAGTTTTTTTTAAAAAAATATTGATTTAAATTGTATAGAGGAAGATACATGCATTTTTTTTGGGACCTTGCTACTTGTACAAAAGAATTTGTACAAAAATGTTGACAAACACTCACATGATGGCCGGCCCCACATGAATAAAAAATTGAAAATAAAAAGTGGGCCCCCTCACATGTGAGGGTTTGTCAACATTTTTGTACAAATTCTTTGTACAAGTAGCAAGGTCATTTTTTGATACTCACCCATGAAATATGACATCACCCACGAAGTCACACTTCACAATTCTTATTATAATCTGCAGGCCAGGTCGAAGACGTCAGTGGGCCCTTTTTCTGGTACAGATCGGCCCATCAGAAGTCCATAAAATATTTAAAAAATAAATAAAACAAAGAAAATGAGAAATGGCGTCGCCCGGACTCGAACCGGAGACCTTCAGTGTGTTAGACTGACGTGATAACCAACTACACCACGACACCATTGGCATCAAACTTTAAAATTATATATCTAATTTACACGATAAATTTCGCCTGAAGTCCCAACCTATAATTTGTTGCATCCACAAGGAAACAAGTTAAAATACCTGTTTGATTCTCATTAATCGGGAAAAAACGAGTTTTTAATAATATTTTTAGAAGAATGTTTGATTAAAAAATAGAGAAAATTTTTAGATATACGTATAGAATATTTGGTTGAAAATGATCTTGTAGCAAATCATAAAATAAATTAATGTGTGTAAACCATCAAACAGGCACTAAGTAGCCAAGTGGCATTCACATGATATTGGAATTGATTGAAGAAGTGTGATAAATTTCATGAATATCGAGAAATTTTATTGATCTTTGTTTCGATTGTTTTGAGATGATTAAATTTTTTGGGACAATTGTACTCCGAATCCGACATCACTTGAGTTGCCACTAATGTTTAAATAAACGTTTCCGTTAACTGGAATATGGGTGTGCCGTTTTTAAAGTTGGGAGCATAGGTGCCACACTAATTAAAGCTTGAGTAACGTTAACGCCACCTAAACCGTGTTTGTAACCCCACTGAGGATGAATAATATTACTCTTAAAGCTTAGTCCTCGTTTGAGCCACATTTTTTTCTCATTAAAATGAAAAATATGATCGTTATTTATCACATAAATTCAAATTTTCTATCTCTTGTGTGGGCCCCAATAACAGTTATATTTTTCATTCTCATTCTACAATAAGGTGGCTCAAACATGGCTTTAATAACCTCTTGTGGAAATTATCCAAAAATAATGTAAATGCAAAAATTTTCAAATAATTCGACCGTTAACTCAAACCCACTAAGAACCCCAACAAAAAACTAGCCGTTGCCCGCTGTCTTTCATATTATCAAAACCGTAAATCCATCTCTTCATATTCCACCAACATTCCTAACATAACATCATTATCCTCTACTGTCAAAATCCCACAAGATTTTATTGCTTTTAGCCCTGAATCAAATCAATCTCTTCATATTCCACCAACATTCAAAGCGTATCCATGGCTTCAAGAACTGCCACTAAAGACATAATCACTCTTCGCGGATCGGCCGCCATAGTCAGTGAATTCTTCGGTTTGTGTCTCTTATTGTCATTTTCTTTTAAATTTATTTTGTGGGTTTTCAAGATTGTGGACTAATATTTCATTTAATGGAACCCCTTTTCAGGTTATGCTGCAAACAGGTAATAATCCAAGATTCCTTTATTATGATTTTTTTTTTGAATGTAGTTTATGGTTGGGGATTCAATTTGAATTTGAATTTTTTTTTTCAGTATTTTGTACAACCGTGCAGTTTACCCCGAAGAAAGTTTTGCAAAGGTCAAGAAATATGGACTTCCAATGCTACTTACTCAAGATGAAGGTGTCAAATCATTCATTTCAAACTTAACTGCACAGCTTTCTGGTAAGTTTGAATATTTACGCGTTCTTTGTGATATTATGATTTTTCTCGGGGTTCCTCGCGATTATATTTGTAACAGTTTGATTGTGTAATTAGTATAGAATCTTTCATCTTTAGTCTAGACTCTATTCAGTTCATATTTCTTAAAATTTTATACTGGAATTTGATGAAGAGTGGCTGGAATCTGGGAAGCTGCAGAGGGTAGTTCTGGTGATCATGAGCAAGGCCAGTGGTGAGGTTTTAGAGAGGTGGAATTTCAGTATTGAGACGGATAAGGAGGTTGTCGAAAAGGGGTAATCAACTTACAATTTGTTTCTGAATAAAATAATTCTGGGTTGTGAAAATTGTTTATTGGTTTGAATTTCTGTTGAATTTGATTTTTGTTATAGAGTTTCAAGGGAGAAAAGCGATAAAGAAATTATGAGAGAAATTCAAGCAATTATGAGGCAGATAGCATCCAGCATTACATATTTGCCATGCCTTGATGAACCTTGTAAGAATCTATTAGATTAATGTAATGAGATTGTTATTGTCATTTGATGTTAATGAGATTGTTGCTTGGGCTCATCTGTTCTCGTTTGGAGCGCTCTTGTTCTTGCTGCCCCAACCGCCAACAATAGGGTCTCGATATTTGTGATGTTAAATTTCGAGCAACATCCATATTGATTCTTTTTGAGTGCTCTTGTTCTCGGTGCCCGACCACCAACATTACGGGGCTCATATTGGTGATGTTAATTTCCAAGCAACATCCATAGTGTATTCTTTTTGCGTGCTCCTGTTCTCAATGCCCATGTACCAATTTTGAGTGCAAGAATCTTGACCACCAACATTAGGGGCTCGATATTTGTGATGTTTATTCTCTAGCAAAATCCATTGTGTATTGTTCTTTCTGAGCGATCTTGATCTCGGTGCCCGACCACCAACAATAGGGGCTTGATATTAGTGATGTGTTGATTCTTTTTGAGTGCTCTCCTTCTCGGTCCCCGACCAACAACATTAGGGGCTTGATATTTGTGATGTTCATTTTCGAGCCAATCCATTGTGTATTATTCTTTCTGAGTGATCTTGATCTCGGTGCCTGACCACCAACAAATAGGGGCTCGATATTCGTGATGTATTGATACTTTTTGAGTGCTCTTCTTCTCTCCCGACCAACAATATTAGGAACTCGATATTTGCGATGTTAATTTTCAAGCAACAATCCATCATGTATTATAGATTCTATAATTGATTTGGTTGTTGTGCGATGCAGGTGTTTTTGATGTGTTAGCCTACACAGACACAGATGTGGCAGTCCCGTTTACTTGGGTTGAGAGTGACCCCAAACTGATAGCCAACCCACAGATGGTGAAATTGCATTCATTTGATACTAAGGTGAAATCTGCAGCCTAAGTCTGGGGTTCACTTATTATTCTTCTTGTCTTTCGGTTAACCATCTGTTTTCGACTTCATGTACTGAATTATGAGTCAAAATTGAGACAGGTATCTCAGATCATTGTTAACGAATTTCCTGATTTACTTTTGCAGATACACAAAGTTGACACTTTGGTATCATACAAGAATGATGAATGGGATGAGGCGTAAATGAAGGAGCAACGTTTATGTTCACTCTTTGAGTACCTTTTACAGTGAATAATTGATTCACATTTTGTAAGCTATTAACTATGGAAAAATGGATTCAATGAAGTGAATCATTGATTCACATGTATTTCAGTTGTGTGTGGAATTGCAAAAAATCGAACCATTTTTTTTCATTTCCTGTCTTCCGTATTCTCCTTGTATAGTGACACATTTGAGCACACTCTTATATGTCACCAGAGCTCAACGAACATGCCTTGAATCATACTTCACATATGAGTGTAGGATCATACTTGTCGAATTTTTGTTACACGATATATGAGTCTGAACTAGATGGTTGAAAAATTCAGAAATTTAGTTTGGCTTGTCTTTTGAAATTTCAAAAGTTTGCTTCTAAGACTCAGAAGTTGTTCGCTGTTGAACATGTTCTTATAACAGTAGTCGCAGAAGCTCGCTCCAAAGATCTTCTAAACGGTGTTTTTCGAGCTCAGTTTCACGTTACCTTTCTCTACCAAACAACCAATCAAAACAGCTACAACTCACAACTAATATATTCGCCTTAGTTGCTCCTTAATCTCACCTATAAAGGACAAGATAACGGTGTTGATTTGTAGCCACAAAGGTAAGGATGGGAAGTAATGAAGAAGCTTATTGATCTAGAATCAAACGTGCAACATTTCTCCACACATCCACTTTGAAATTTCATTTGGAAAAGTTTTAAAGAAAGCTTATTGCTTGCATTAATTTGCCAATAAGAGTAACCTAAATAAAAAATAAAAAATTCTTCAACCAAAACATAACTCGTTCGTTGATTATTCAATAATTTGTCCATCCACACCTTCACTTAGTTAAGATAAATATTCTCTGGTCGAAATTATGTTACCATCTATAGTTGATGGACATAACGATCATCCATCATTCGAATCGTTGCCTCTCTCGACTATTACATTCACCACAAATAAAAAAGGAGCTTGCTTATTTCAACCTTCCAACGGTTAAAAAAAAAAGAATGTTGTGAAGAAGGGAAGTATTGGAAAAATTGGCGAATAAGAGTGGAGCTTGGAACTCAAATTGAGACAACAATTGACTATTTTAAGAAAGCAATATTTTCAATAATTATGGCATTTTGCCCATTTATAAAAGTAAATATCAATGAATATATGATTGGACAGTGAAAGTTTCTAGTTTGATCCTAAAATCACCTAATAGGTGAATAACACGGAATAAACTTACCAATTAAAAGCAACAAATCACTTTAATTTTTCTAAATGTTTAGTCAATCAAATCAATTTTATCATATCTTGAATTGCCACAATATTAATTAAAGCAGTTAAAAAAAAAAGATTTTTTAACTTACAGTATGATCCAACTTAATGAACCTATTATAGTCACTGATCTAATTCCTGCAATTTTCAATATCCCCTGGAACGTGCTTTACTCACACCTACTCCCGATCTTCTTGAATTGTTTATTTCATGTGGATCACCAAGAACACCTTGTTCTTGTACTCTTCTTGTGCTTCTGGTCCAACATCTCTTAAATTTCATCAATATGTGAAAGGTATTAAAAAAGTATCTTCCTGATTATATTTAGGAAGTAGATGTTTTGAATTATTTGACTTTAATGTTTTTCCCAACTTGTGGTTGATTGATCTCAAGACTCAAAGAGTTAATCTCAATGTCGGATGTATTCTTGGATCTTAGATTGATTTTATGAGGATGTAAAATAATGATCAACCACACACAACAACGTACTAGACATTGATTATTTATAATAAGAGATATTTTGGTAGTATTTGATAGATATAACTCTTGAAAATCGCGAACTAGGATTTCACGTATAACACCATTGCTTGAGCGCCAAGCTAACGATAGGTGTGTCGCTCTAGCAAGAGTCGGGTGACAAGTATGCAACACTGATTCCACTTTTTCCGCTTGAGCATCAACTAGGCGACATGATAGCGTAAATCCGACGACTCTTTCTCCTTGTTTCACACTTGAACACAAAGATTGCAGTTCATCTATACGACCCCCCAAAAGACTCCTTGATTTTTACAACTCTTTTATAATAATCATTTTGTCTAAAGAATTGACAATACAACTAAAAACCTAACAATCTCCTCATTTGGCATTTCGTGACAAAATTATATAATATAAGTCAAGGAAGTAAAAATAAACTAATCTACTCAAATTCAAATTGAATGTCTCTTTCTTGCATTCGTTAACCAATGAACTAATTGACACCCCCAGATCTATAGATTTACCAATGCTGTCAAATTCAATGGGACAAAGAGTTTCCTTTATCAAATATATAGAAATTAAATAATCATTTCCTAAAAATATTTATGCAAGTAAGCTTTGTAAATAAGAATAAGGCCGGTCTCAAGGAGGTTATGGTGTTTCGTTTATCCCAAGTCCAAATATTTGTGCATGTTTGGCATAGCATAAATGATTATTTAAGTTGATCAAATATTCCATTAATTTTTTTTTTTAACAATTATTGAAGACACTCTCCCAACAATTTTGTCTAGAGTACGTAAATTTCTTGAACCGCCTCTACTTATACTATTTGTTTTGTTTTGCACGAGAACTGGAATTCATGGGCTCTCTTTCCATGACAATAATAATGCACGGGCTTGTTGTTGGGCCAGAAATAATAGGCCCAGATGTGAAGTCGAAGAAAGAATAATTAAAAGAGGAAATTACACCTACACCTGGAATTAGATTTCCAATTTCACAAATCAGATCACTAGTTTAATTTTTTAAAAATCAGGTTTTTTATATCTAATTAAATACTAATTATAAATTTTCATCCCAATTAATAATTTCATCCCAAAATCAAAAACCTAAATTCATCTCTCTCCCTGCCGTCTCTTCTCCTCTCGCCTCTATATTCCTCCTGCCGTCCGTCGCCGTCTTCT